ACCCTCTCTGTTCCAGCACATGGGCTACTACTCCTCCTATAAAGGAGTAGAGAACAAACTGAAGGACGATGATTTTGAGGAAGACTCTATCGACATCCCTGACAACCCTCCTGCCAGCATTTATACAAACATCAACGTCTTTGAAAACTACGACGCAACCAAGGCTTACAGCACAGTGGATGAATACTTCTGGGGGAAACCTCCCTCAACTGGAGATTTCTTTGTTGTAGTCTTTAATAAATCAACCAAAATCAGCAAGATTAAGATTACCACTGGCTCAGATGACCGGCAGAATGATATTCTACACCACGGCGCTCTGGAAGTCGGAGAGAAACTGGTTGGGACTAAAAAGGGAAAACAGTGTTCCTCCTACATCACGTTAGGGGAGTTTAAAAATGGCAACATTGAGGTTCAAGATGTGGACCATAAGATTGTCTTTGACATTGAGTGTGTGCGCATTGTAGTAACAGCGAGTCAGAAAGAATGGCTGATTATTAGAAGTATCAGTTTATGGACTACACAACCACCCAGCCAATAAGCGCCACGCACACAGACTTTTAGTACGTCATTGAAGCAGTGATTTTTGTTATTATTTATTGATGTATGTTTTTCCAGCTTCACTTATTCATTTTATACGTATTTATTAATGTTCATTCTGACAAACAACCAGTTTTTTATACCTGAATGGTGTGGCCATATTGGATCATCTTCACAGTCATTATCAAAGACTGTTCAGCTGACCTCAGAGTGTCTGTTACCAAGGCTTTATCTGTTATGTTTTATTGTTTTCTTTACCAAACCTGAATAAAAACTATGTTCTGTGTATTCCTATTGTCATCAAATCCCAGCAGCAGCAAACACAAAGTATACACAGTTAACAGGGAGGGTAGAATGTGGGAAGTTATTACATCTTTTTACTAAAGTTTACAGTTTTCTATCCATGTTCGAACCAACTACATGCACAACAGAAAGACGGGAAGGTAAGGCCAGTGGGCGTCAAAAGGAACCTAGTTGGATTTATAATTTCAAGTATTTGACTTTTCCTGAGTAAGAATAAAAATTAAGCCTCAGATAATAATGCCCCTTTAACAGTCATGGACTCACCCATCTTGACTCGTGATGGGGAAGGCTGTTGTTGGTTTAGCGCCCAGGAAACAGCAGATAACCTCTTGGTTTAGTAGAAGATGACTGTTAGCGTTAGCAACTCCACCACACAGCAGAACTCCTTCAGGCTTGTGTTAAAAAGCTGCTAAAAAGTCACAAGCTTGCAAAACAGATTATTAAGATGATTGTTTTTATCATTTTAGGTATATTTTTCTGCATTTCAAAGCTGCAAGAATTATCCCTAAAAAACCGGAGAGATCTGGTAGGCTGACATCAGAATTTTCTCACAATCACAAAATTGACTGAATGACTAGAGAAACAAAAACTCATAAACATCATTACTACGGAAACAAAATGCTTTTACCTGTGAATTCACGTTTTATTTGTTGATGATGATACATTTTTAGATGATCTGATCATTTAAGGCTGATATATTATTTATTTATGAATATGGTTTTACTTCTGCCTCTGTCAAGGGTGTGACCTAAGACTAACCCTGAGACTCTGTACACACATAGCTGGGTTTACCACAACACTAAGATATTTTTCAGTTTTTCAGATGCGATGACCACACATCACCACTATGGCCGCCAAATGTCCATTCTTATGCTTCACACAACTTGAACCCGACGGACCCAGCACCGGGTCCACGAGCACTTCACCAACAAAGTTGTTCCAAAAACATGCTAAATATTCAGCAATTAATGCAAACTTCACCTGTACCTAACAGGAAGAGGCTCATCTAAACAATAGAATCCACATTTTTAATCAACAACACCCAATGACAATAGCTGCTAAATGAAAAGCAAAACAAAGTTTATTTCATGAAAACAAAAGCACAAATGTAGTCTTACCTTTGCTGGTTTATGGTCATAGTAATCCATGTTATAGTAAATAATTAACATGGGGCCGTGGAATCCTTTGTCCCAACGTCACACTGTGCTGATTCCTGACTCTTTTGGGTTTTTTACCTTCTTTTTCCAGTTTTCCATAGTTCTCCATAATAAAACAACTCCATGAGGTGTACTCAGCTGCTCTGCAATGTACAAACAATGGTGCGCTACAAAAATAAACAAATACATGAATAAATAAATAAAGAGAACGGTGAACTGTGGACAGCTACCGGTTCTGGGTGAACGTCCTGATCTGAGACTCCAGTCTTCTGTGCCCAAAGGCTCTCCTATTCTTTGTATTGGAGAGGCATCCAGCTTTATGCACCAATAGCGTAGGGCGATGGGAAAGATTATGCGCCTGAAAGGGAACAGGAAGTACGTCACAAGACGATTTGGTTGCAGTAAAAGTGTGAGAGAACATTTTTAAACTACACTTAAATGCAGATTGTACACAGCACTTAAGTGGTTTGGTTTAATTTTCATGTTTATTTGATGTTTTGTGATTTCTTTCTTCTTCTTCCTCTTCTGGTGACTTGTGGGGCAGCGCCCTAGCACCCCCTGTGGACGAGCCGCCACTGTTTGAAAGAGAACCGGAGATTTCGCCCCCCGACTAAGCTCTTTTATGGGTCATGGCCAGACTATATAATCACATATAAACGTAGGAGAATATTTGGTTTTACAACACCTGGCCACATGTGTGCATGGTCTTAGTGATGGACCGGTTGCTGTAGATACTAGCATTTCACATTTTCTGTTGGTTTATTATTTTTTTTAAGTAAAAAATAGTCTAATTTATTATCTCCCTGTTTGTCTTTCCAACACATCCAGAATCAGCAAAAGTAGAGTTGAGTAATAACCAACAGATCTCATAGATGCCTAAAAGGGATTTGTTGACAATTAGGATACATTTCAATGTGTGCATGTTTAATGTTTTTATAGATTTTTTTTTAAATGCAGGTTGAAAAGTGTTAATAGTGATGGTTGTGTTGAGTTTTTGCTGTTTTTGATTTGATTCTGAGATTGTCCACCCTCACCGTGGTGACAGAAGTCACCAGAACAACAAAAGATTCAGTATGAAAGTTTGCAGCAAGTAATGAGCTATTTAATGGTTTAATGCTTTATTCAGTTTGTCAAATATTTCTCATTTTGATTTATTTCTCATTTAAAACAGGTCTGATTAAAGGCAGTCCTTCAGAGGCGGAGCCTAAAAGGAAATTGCTGCCTTTCATCATTTGAAACAAACCTTTTATCTTTTACTTTTTCCTTATTCCATTACCTACTGCAACATGTGTTTGTGACTCGTTCACTACAACTTAATGTTCTGCACGACCTGCTGTCAGGAAAACATTTGTTTTTCACCCATCGTCTCCAGGAGCTGAGATTAGACCGCACAGTGAAGAACGGGCCGGCCTCTCCTCTTATGCCCTTTTATTTTTTCTTCTTCTCTTTTCAAAACCATTTCCTCCTAGTAAATTGTTCTGTGTGTGCTTGCCTCTCTCTCCACACCAGCAAAACAACATCTTCCCTGGAGCTATAGGATCTCAATTGTTTCTCCCCTGATGTTGCACTCTCACAGCTTCACCGCAGCAGCTGTTTCACGGCTGCACCTCTGTGATCTCCCCCCTCCTCGAACAGTTTGCTGTTCGGGGAATCTTGTTCAGTGTTAGTCTGAGGTTCCTTGGCCAAAATTTGTTAACGCACCAATTTCATCATGCTCTCCAGAAGAACCCCAAACATCTTCGGCATTAGACTGCAGCTAATGAGCTGTGTTTAAATTTAGATGAGTTTTAATGATGCAACAGAGGAGTGGGTGTTTACATGACGGCATTCCTCCAGAGCTCACGCAGGAAGCGGCTGGTCATTAAGCATGCGGCGACAGCCCTGTTCCACCGCTCCAGTGGCCACCTGTTCCATGTTTTCCCTCTAGGTCTTGTTTAGTCGTACAGATCGAGACCTTTTGCAAATCGAATTTAGCTGCCAATTTTCCTCAGCAAATCCTCCACCGCCCCCACCCCCACTTGCTATCTCAAATGAAATTAGAGTACCCACCGCCTCCCAGCGAGGCCCATTGTTGTCCTCAGCTTTTCCCTCCGAATCCTGCTGTTCACTTAAAGGATTCTTTGACCTGCGTGGATCTGCTCCTCTCGGGGGGCTGTTCTTAGAATGGAAGAAGCCTAAATGGTGCAGCACAAGTGGCGTTATTCATGTCAGAGATGACGATTCTGTTACCATACATCTGAGCTGAAAACACATAATGACGCGGTGGGTCAGTGGGAAATGGAATGGATGGCTTTGTTATGCTTTATGTCAAAGAACAGCAGCTGTGATATTTCTGGAGGAAAACGTGCTTTCTGATCTTCATTTGAGATTTTAAAATGGCAGCTAAAGTAGCTGCACACTGCAGGTTCATGGAACGATTTACATCTTGGGGAAAACAGAAAAAAAATGCATAAATTCCTCAAGTGCATGTCAATAAACTGCTGTGCACAGCATTCCTTGCTCCTGGCAGCATGTTCAGAAAGTCTCTGGGAAAACATTGTGCACTGGATCAGTTCAACATCTCATGCAGTAACTAAAAATAGTCCTTTCCTTGTGTAATTGCCCAAAACGGAAGTGCACTAACAAACCTCTGAGCTAGGAGGACAGGAGTATGGTGAAGTCCAGCAGAGAAGGTCCAACACTCTGAAGCTCTGATGATAAGATAAATGGTTCCTTGGTTATCTGAGCTGTCTTCCGGGGGAGCATGTACAATGTGCATGAAGCTTTCAGTGGATAGAACAACTCTTTTTTTATCTATGATTTACCGTTGTGCTAATGGAAATTATTTATGCGTAGAAGCGGACCGAACCTGACACGGGCTTCGTGTGACATAGTTTTGTTCTAAGTGGAGCGAGTGTTTCTGTGTTTGACTCTTCATCTTTCCCACACTGGGACTGTATTGTACGATGACATATCTATATTTTTTTACTCGTATCATTTTGGATGTTGTATTGTACATAATGTAATTTAAATGAAATCCGATTAAACAAACGAATGCTGACTTTGTGGTGAATTGACTGCTGAGATTTAGATTCGGGGGCCCAGGGGAGCTCCGAGTACCGAGCGTGTGTCTGCAGTGTTGGGGCTTCGATGTCGGTTTGAGAGCTGCAGCAATGTTTACATGACCCTGATTTAGAGGTGTTCATCTGTCTGTAACCAAACGTGCTTTGTTTATGTGGATGGGAGTGGAACAAGAGGTGTTGATGTTCTTTCTGATTTAAAAGAGGTGAGAACAAAAGGATTATTGATATTTAGGTTCCTTTAGGTTCTTGAAGTTCCTTCAAACTTCTCGACTCAGATTTTATCGTAGCCAAAAGCAAAAGTCATTCATTATGTATTCCAATATTAAAATGCCTTCTGCTTTTTGAACTGCATGTTTAATGAAGGTGTGGAGATGATGCTCAGGGGGATGCTGTTTGCTTCCTACTCTTTGGGTTTTCATCTAAGAGGTTGTATCTTCTTAAAGACGACCGTCTGCGCTGTTTATAAGGTAGGTTACCCAGTTCTAAACAGGTGAGATGTTGTTAGTTATCATTCTTGCACAGAAACACACCTCAGAGGGGCCAAAATGCTCTTTTAAGAAAAAAAAAACGCAAACATTAAAGTACAAGAAGTTTGGAACTGAAAAAAAAATGTGTTTTCATCACTTTTTACTGCCAGTAGGTTTGTTTCATTTCTTTAGGAGGTTTTTTGGAAGTTTTATTTCCTAACTTAAAATTGTCAAAACAAGAAGTTTAAATGTTTAAACTTTCCTACAGTCATTAGCCTTGTTCGTATTTTGTATATTTATATATTTTCTCAACTGAGCTACAGCAGCAACAACAAAGAGTTTAAACAGAATGCATTATTAAAAGTGTTTTTAAGACTAATACATCCCCTGATTGGTTAATGAGCTTTCTGACCTTGTGATTTTTAAGCATACCTTTCATCCAGCCTATGTCTACCTGTGGCTTTGATACATTCCTGTTTATATAAGTTTTATGTAATTAGAGTTTCATATAATGTAATGTAGGCAAGACGATGCCTGCGCTGCCCCACTAACCACAGAATGCATTCTAACAACATGCAACAACACCGCACTGGAGCAGGAAGAGGGAGAGTAGGGATCTTCTCCCACCTCTGTTCTCAGTTTGCTGCCTGGGGCTGGAGGCTCAGGGTGGGAGCTGGTCATCTGGTTGGGGTCTGGGGTGGTGGGTCCCTTTGTTCTGTGTTGGGTGGGAATGCCTCCTAGCCCTTTTCAGATAGACCTTCTGGAACATTTGTGGACAATTCAATCCGTTTTTTAACCAGAACTGTGTTTTCAGACACACCACTTTTATACCGGAACTTGTCCTTTCGGCTGCGTTCATACAGCAGGGAAAAGTTCCAGATGTCTGGGGGGGGGGATCAGAACCATGTTAAGCATAATTCTGCGCACACGAAGACGCATAAGAGACCTGGATGATGAAGCTCAATGGTTAAAGGAATCACTGAAGCAGTGTGAAGCGCTCCGTCGCGCGTCTAGACGGTACCGTAGGAGGCGAGCTGCCGTGGTTCGCCGCATGCTACAACAGCGGGCTATCTAGGTGCGCACAGCGTCCCCCGGTCCCCTCCTCCTCCCCCTCCTCCCTGTCCGGAACTCTACCTCACCAGTCTGAAGCAGCCACCCTGTCCGTAACAAGTCCGGACCTGTTACTAGGGGCTTCGTCCGGTTTAATTACGGAAAACACTATCCGGATGTTTGTATTCAGACACAAAGGTCTTACGGACAGAGTCCGGAACATTTCTGTTGTTCATGGCCTGTCTGAAGGGGACCAGTGTCTAGGAATGGTTGTGCCCTCTGTGCAGCAGTACCGGGACCAGTGTGAGTAGGATGTGTATGGGGAGCGTGAGTGGTTGTATGACGTACATTCTTGTTTGTCTTTAGGATGTATGTGTGAGCATGAGGGTGGGAGTGTGTGACTGTATCTGTCAGGTGGGGTCTTGGACTCCTCCCCTCTCCTGGGATATATTGTGGTGCTACAACCATGGACATAGATAGACCCCGCATGGCCACTACTGCCTATGGGCGCTGACAAGCGGTGGTGCCGCCATCTTGGATCGGTCGAGACCCCCTCTTTGACAGGGACAGCATGTTAAATCAACCATAACTCGTTGAATTCTCAACCAATTTTGATGTGGTTTTTTTCCCTGCAAACATCACACAAACAGATCATATGCTTTAGCGTTTTTAACAACAGTGGGTTTGCTGTGGGCACATATGTGACTCTTGTCCAGAGCAGAGTCAAAACTTAAAGAAAAAGAGGATCAATCACTAAAAATCAAACAGTGAGAATCAAAATAATCAAAATAAAAATGAAATATCTCTTCAGCTCTTCTGGAGTTGTGCACTTATCTGGTTAAAACAAACAAACATATTATGTTTATTATATATTGGTGTTTATAGTACACACCTGTTGTTCTCAGCTGACATCAGTGGCTCCCTGATGCTGTGAAAACTCGGGGACACCCAGATATGATCCTTTCTATGTTGATTAAAATAAATGAATTTGTGAGAAATGACATCAAGATGGGAAAATTGCACTCTGCCTTGTGACTTGATAAAAGGATATGTACAGGTATGGATGCTGATGGTTTTATGATACACTTACTCTCTGAAGGAGAACCAGGAAGCTGAAGAATAAACTCCATCTCTGAGTCTCCCAGTCTGGCACAGCCCAGATCTGATCATAATAAATCAGCTGCAGGAAGCCTCACACTTCTTCCTCACATCTTTTGTTGGAAAGCTACAAAACAAAACATGAGATTTGCAGATTAGTGTCTACACAACACTGTAGAAGAAGAAGAAGAAGAAGAAGAAGAAGAAGAAAGTGTCATTTCTATAGCGCCTCTCAAGATAAAAATCACAAGGCGCTTCACAAAAACAAAAAATGTAAAAATATAAAAAAGAATTTAGAAAATGGTTAAAAGCCAGTGAAGCTGGAGGAGAAGCGGGGTGATGTGGGTGTGTTTGGAGGACTTGGTCAGAAGCCGAGCACAGGCATTCTGAACCACCTGTAGACGGTTCAGGGAGGTTCTGCTCCCCCCACCCCCGCCGCCGTCAGACATCCGGAACTTTTCCCTGCTGTGTGAAGGCAGCCGAAAGGACAAGTTCCGGTACAAAAGTGGTGTGTCTGAAAACACAGTTCTGGTTAAAAACCAGATTGAATTGTCCACAAATGTTCCAGAATGTCTGTCTGAAAAGGGCTTCTGTTGCATCATCCCACCCACCAGGCATATAGAGTGCCCTGATTGGCCCACAAAGCGGATAAAGCTCTGTGATTTGTTCACTCGGCAGATAGAGCACTTTGATTGGCCCACCATTTTGGACCAATCACAGCTCTTTATGTGTTTGAAACCCCTCTAGAGAGCTGTGATTGGCCAGCCAGAGTCCTGGTAGGAGCTGCAGAGGTTCCAATGGAGCGTGCCTAGACCAAACTTTGTAAAGCAAAAATTTGGTCTAGTTCACTAGGCTAGGAGCCCCCTGCTCCGTTCTCATTGTTGAAAAAATCCTACCGATTGCATTGAATGACCAGTTTATCAAATCTATGGTTAGTAAAAAATAGATTTTCAGAAGAAATGCAGAGAAGCGCTCTGTGGGCAGACAGGACAAAGAGCCTTGGGAAAAAAAGATAAGGGAGCGAAAGAGGGAAGCGTCTGTACTCCTCGAGTGCCAGAAGAAGAAGTGACAGCAATAATTAAGATGGGATATTGGCCTCAGCCTAAAATTACACATGGTGCATTCATCGCCAGTAATCGTGCAGCAATGTGCATACGCATTTAAACACAACAAATTCAAAACCCCCTACTGAAACCCACAAGCATTTTGGGAAAGTTTACAAATTTATCTGCAATAAAAGTTGATGTGATATTACCTGGAAGCTAATTTTCTCATAAAAAATCTCAACATTTACATCCGTTCAACAGGATCATAGGAATTGTAGTGACATTTATGTTGTTCAGTAGCTCACCCAGATGACAGCTATGAGGTTGTCACAAGTTGAGAAATGGTCGCTCCTCAAATAAGTTAACACTCCTTTTGAATCGTTGTCTAGGGCCATAAAGGAACCACAGGGAAAACAAATCTATATCACGTCTGCATACAGCTGTGTGAACCACAGAGGAGATGCCCTGTTGGTTTGCTTGAGGCTAGCTTAAGAAAAAGCAGAAGAACAGCCTGTCAGTCATTCAGAGAGTGGACTTCTAGACTGGCAATGGTCTGACATTACTGGCAGTGTTGCCGATTGATCCTGGCCAGCTTATTCAGGTGTGACTGCCTGGTCATCACAAACTCTGAACCTGCCTTCTCTACCAGTAAAACAGATCTTAAAAGCTTTGGAGAATGACAGGTGATTGACAGAGAAGGATGAAGCTGGTGAATGTAAAGCAAGTATCAATCAGTCTTGGTTATAAAAGGTTAACTCCTCTTAGGTAAAAGTTTGGAAAGTTAGCTTAAGGAATACAGAATAACTGCCGTGCCAGCTAAAAAAAAAGGTGGAGAGAATCACTGCTGCATGGAGAGAGAGAGAGAGAGAGAGAGAGAGAGAGAGAGAGAGAGAGAGAGAGAGAGAGAGAGAGAGAGAGAGAATGTAGTTGTCATTCCATGCAAGGCCTGGGTGTCTTAGAAACTCTGAAGTATTTCAGCATCCCGATGCACTTCAAACCCAATGACACTCTCAGACAAAACTCACTCACTCTGAGGAGAAAATACCCAAAGAGGAGCAGAGCATGGTTGTGTGTGCAGCTCATTGCAGAACTTACCTGCTGCTCTGCAAATCCACGGCTCAAAGCTGAAGAACAGTTGTTTTGACAGACCGGGCTTTCGTAGTGCCACGCTTCATGTAAAATGCTATTTTTACTCCAAGCAAAGATATAAAACACACATTCAGCAGAGGAATAGACTGAACGGGTATCATCACATGGTAAATTAAGGCTACGTTTGATAACAGAGTTGAGCTTTCACACTGTGAAACTGTTCAGGAA